CGAGACACAGTCTCCCCCGAATGTTGGAACTGTTCTTGGATTTTCCGATTTTGCTTCCCTTTCAACACATAGATAAACATTGCAACGCTTTCTTCAACAGCTAAGCCATGTGGACATTGCGGTACTTGTAACCCAAAATCATTTACTAATGTCTCACACAAGGCGACAAAAACCTCCTTCGGCATGCAAACATTTTCCTCAAATCGACCCATATGGCCTGCATATAGTTCAGATATCCATGCATTCCCGGTCAGTAGAGAAGTGCGACATGGCGTTTTAGCCATGTGTTTTTCGTACCGTTCTATCACATACTGGCATGCTTGTAGAAATGTGTAGTTGTGTTCTTGTTGCACCTGGACCGCCATTTGATTAAGCATTTCCCTTAAATCATCATTGTTCATGCTTCCATCCCAGGGATTCATCACGTCTTCGTTGATGTGAAACCTACAAGAGTGGCACTCTTTCAATCAGTTTGCACGTGATTCATTGACTCAAATTATATTCCAGTTTGGAATTAAAAAATGCCGACATTGTTTTTAATGTAAGTAATGCCGTCACCAATGTCATTAGTAACGCATAATGATATGAATTGCACAAATTGTAAACCTGTTCAACTTCTGCTTTATAGGTAGTACCATGGTGGTAACAACGACAAAAGTTGACGTCAAAGTAAAGCAACAGTTAAATTTGCAAAATATATACATACAAAAGCTAGCAAGAAAACTGTCGGTGCCTATCTAAAAAATAGCCACATATTTAATTAAAACAAAAGCATCTCATCCATTTCCCAAAAACCATGCACAACCATGCTTCCATTTCGTCAACCCATGCACTTAACTAAAAGTTTTCTTCACTATAGCTAGCAAGAAAAAAACAAAAAAGACAAAATAAAACATGCACACACAACCATCCTGTTTTAATACAATGCCAACAATAACATAAGTCAAAGTTTTCAAACGCAAGAGAAGGACAGGCATCTTCAACACTCGTAATACCGCTACATCACATCCGGCGACCCCCAAACAGGTTTGTAAAAGGCGCCGACGCAGTACACTGGAGCTGCTTTTGTGTAAGCCACCCTATGATGTGGTCGTCATTAGGCTGGCACATCATCACCTCCCGGTAATTGGTGTTATCCATAAGTGTCGAGGCGAAGTGGAATAACGGCGTACCAATCAGGGATGGAATACTCGTCGGGCGATGCATGTACTCCGAAATAGTGTACAGCGATTCGTTGCCTGTGAGGTGCCTCACCGTAACCTGCTAATTCTTCGTACGCACCACATCTGTCAGATTGTTCATGCTTTTCGCAATAACTAATGCTCCACTTGTTGCCTTCTTCGACTTTGAAACACTTGTTGATGGCGTCTTTTTCCTTTTCCCCTTTTTAATCGGAACATGCTCTAGTGAAGAATCTGAATCCACGCCTTGTACTCCTGCGGGTATCGGATCAGCAAATGGCTGGGCTCCCAAACTCTGCACTGAATCAGATGAGTCATCAGCAGCTTCAGGAAGTTTCTCTCCCAGGGTCTAATGGTGCTTCCCAGTAGCTGATGCCCCCATGAAAACTGCCTCCATCAACTCACGATGTTCCAAGGTTTTTTTCCTGAACTTGGCACACACCTTGTTTATCTGCAGAAATAGAGATATATGAAAGAGAAAGACGTTACATTGCATATAATTAATTAAAAGTTAACTAAAAAAGTTTAAAATGTACTGGTAAATGACAAATATGAAACTTGTTTGTACATATACTTACCGATTCCATCTTGTCCTACCACTTCTCAGGTGCCTGAAACATACCAGTGTCACAGTCAAACCCTATCCCTGACACTCCTTTGCTTGAATCCATTAACTTTGTCCACGCTTGCCACTCTTTTTTCAAACTCACGTACTTATTCTTCAACTGTTTCAGTCCATGTTTTCTTCCTGTTTTTTTCTCAAATTTCCTTGCCAAGGACTTGTACCCTGCTTGGCTGAGGACTAAGAATGGGCGATTTCCTTTAGTAATCTCATTTGCAATCAACTGCAGGAAAACTCGGATTGAGTTACTGTCCCATGAGGCCTTGTGGTTGAACTGATTATGTGTCTCTTCAAGACAGCTTGACTTGTCAGTGACAATTTGCTTTTGGGATGGGTACGTGGAGAAGTACGTATGGAAGCCATTACTAATGTACGGTTACAAAAGATTACCATCACAAATTCGGTTGTTATATACAAACGCATAGGCCATTACACATTAATAACAACAAACATAGAGATAGGATGCTAAATTAGCCAGCATATATCCATTGCACAGTAATAACATACGTACACAGGTTCCATGGAACTAAGTAGTGGACATAGTTATGATAGTCATTAATACGTCGACCGTTTCGTACTAACAAAGGCAAAGGCAGCTTAAAGTCATACTAGAACATACTACCAACATACTAACAACGTCGTAACGTGTTTGTACATACTGACAACATCCTAACGTTTCTTACATACGGAACAACAAAATGACAATGATAATGCATAGTACATACACAATGGTCTTAAGGACACGCAAGGATTGTTGAATGTCTATGACATCAGCCCGCAATTGCATGATAATTTCGTCTCTGGGTGACGCATAGTCTTGGTTCTCTCGCCTTGGTTCTTCGCACCAACCAATCCAACTAACACAGGGCTGATGAATGCAAATGATAGAACTATTAGTCAATGGGTTGTTAATGTTCATACAGTCATGGCCGGTAAAGAATGGGTGACTCACCACAGGGCGGAGACATGCAAAGTAGGGACGCCCTGGATTTTTGGCGGACCTGGAAATCTTAACAATACAGGGGCCATGTCCACAGGCAAACATTCGTCGTGGCCATGTACTGGAAGTTGCAGTAGAGGTAAACGAAGCCATGCTATGATTTACAAACATTCGGAAGTGACAATGAATCATGTAAGTAATTAGTTTATGTTATCTGTCTATCAGGTTAAATACTATCTGAATATGATGCGCATGTTTCATAGGATAGGTATACAAACTGTCAACTTCCTTCCGTTTATTTTAAAGAAAAGCAGCCTACGTTCTCATGGTTTCACTGTGAAGGTGGTAATAGAAAGGTAAATATGTAGTTTGGTAAATTTAGATTTCAATGAACATAAAAAAGGGCATGAACATCGTGTGTTTACATGACTGAGATGAAGAATTCATGATCAAATTTTATTATTACTTTTTTCCTACTTATTATTATTATTATTATTATTATTATTATTATTATTATTATTATATTCTGTTGTTTTTTGAAATTTCAGAATAGTCTATTTATATCAATAATTTTGAAGATTAAAGTTTGTATCCACATGACACAAATTAGACATATTTTTTTTGAAAAAAAAATACAGCATTAATTTATATATACTTAGACTAGATCAACTGAAAAAGAGTTATATTCAACTGGTAACCATTCAGCTTTCAATGAAGACAGAAATGAATGAAGAAAGCAGAGGGTTTTATTCAGATTTATGAATAATCAAGTTAACAGTGTTTGAAGAAGTGAAGTTGAATAAGGACAACCCAAAAATGTGACCGTATAAAAATCAAGACTGCCTCTGAGGACTGTTTTTTGGAAGAGAGATGGAGACATTCTCTTCAGCATTGACAAATCAATAGGTATTTCGCAGATAATAAATCAATAAGTATTTCACAGATGGAGATATCGTCTCCAGCATTGACTCAAAAATCACAAAATTTATTCAAATCATGTGTTTTCCTTATTCATTGACAGACCATTTCATGAGAAATCAATAGGTAATTCACAGATCATAAATGAAGCTTATCATGACAGTGATAAGTAATCAAATTACCAATGTTTACTAAAATGAATTTTGTAACAGAAATTGATATTCATTCCCAAAATTTATGTCATCAGTCAGCATTTGTATACATCAATTTGAAATTGTGATCTGAAATTGATAATTTGTAATGCGAATTATCAAGAAAAAAAAAGAAATGCAAAACAGACTGTTTTAAGAATCTCAACAAAATAGGTTGTTTTTATTTTTCATATGTATCTGTTTTTTAATCTTTACCATGGGTTGATCTACATGAAAATATAAGAACGGATACATATATCTGCCTTCAAACCGAATAGATTTATATATAAGAATAGATATATATTTGCCCCAAATGTGTGAATGTAACCGTAATCAACCCAAACCGAACAGATTTATAGATTTTAATATAAGAACAGATATATATTAATTTATATATATATATATATATATCTGCCCCAAATGTGTGAAACGTAATCGTAATCAACCCAAGCACCACGGTAAACAAACAAATCGGTCATGAACCCAACCCTAAGCAGATCGGAAGCAGGGGCCACACAGACGCGAAAAGGGAAATGAAATCAGAACGGCCATAAAGCATTACTTGCAGATCGGTTTGTGTTTGAAAAGGTTCGTTTTTGTTCGCCGCCGCGGATGCGTACTCCGGTGCCGATCGTCTCTAGATGCCTCCTTCGCCTATTACGCTTGTTGTGTGCCGTTTGGAAAGGTTGTGTGTGTGATGAGGCATTGTCCCTTAGAATCAGAGGGAACTCTTCAGGGTATTTTGGTATATTTACCCCAATAAGGGTTTCAAACCAACCCGTGAAAGTAATTTTATCTCTATATAACTAAATAAACCTAATTTGTCCGGATGTGACTAATTTAACCTCAGTTTTGCTTCCCAAACGGTTTACTTATTTGACAACAATGGTGATCTGATTGTCATGTTACCGATCTTGACCTCAAAGCTCGGCATTTGCTCAATCATAATTTCACGACAGCATCAAGCCCTCATTTTATGTGTTGTCTCTCGGTGATAAATGACAGATAAACTTTAATCTCAGCAACTGATGCTACTTGACCTCGAAGCTTGACATTTGATTAGTCATATTTTTACTCCGCACCATGAATTTCATCTCAACTCCCACAATAATAAATTATTCGAGTCTAATTTAAAATTTTAACATGCTTAAAAGTTAAGGTTTAATTTAAAAATTTAACATATTTTAAAATATGATATTTAAATAAATTTTTAACGAATTGGAATTTGATGAAACAAAATATAGATCCGACGACGAACCCTCCCTTTCCAGTGAGTTCTCTCTCTCCCCATCAGTTTCTTCTCTCTCTACACGCTTATAGCTCCATACCTAAGAACTCTGGTTTCGATTCGATTCGATTCCTACACGCTTATCTATCGATTTTCGAGGTAAAATTCATCGACAAACAGGTTAGAATCTGGCTGAATTTTGTTCAACTTCTTCTCTCTATCTCATATAACATTTTTCTGACTTACATCGAAATTGTGCGCTTCTTTGTTTGTTTGTAGCGTTTCGTATCTGTATACATTTGGCAATTTGCTACTTAATATGTACGAATGCTCATTGATTGTGATTCAGAGATTAAGCGAGTATTGTAGCGTTATAATCGGTTTGTTTGTATATGTTCATGACTGTTAGTTGGTAGGTTAGTTTAGGAGCAAGTTTTTTTCGTAAATTGTGTGATTGCTACATGTATACACATATATGTACTAGCAGCTGTTGCACACAGCTAAATGTTTGGACGGTTTGCTGAATCAGAAATATGAGTTGGTTTTGAAAATTGATTCGCAGTTATTTACTGAAAGTGGCATGTTTTTATTGATTCAATTCGCAATTATATGGTCATTTTTGAAAATTGAAATTGTGTGACAAAGGTTCAAAAAGATGTTATGAGTTGTGTGCTTTCTATAATATAAAATAGATAAATGAATAAAGTATATTCTCTCTCTGCAATTCATAGATTTATGCCTATATAGAGTTTCGATTGCTATCACTAAGTGGATCGATTAAACTTTCCTCGTGCTGGGATACTAAATTCTAAGATTGGTTGGGTTTAGAGCCTCTGGATGTTTGTGTTCTAATATCTATTAGCAATTCTATGGGCATTTTTGGAAATTGAAATCGTGTGGAGAAGCTTTAAAAAGCTGTTATGTGTGGTGCGCTTTATATAATAAAATAGATAATAGATAAAATAAATTCTCTCCCTGTGTATTCATACATATTTGCTTTCATAGAATCTTGATTGCCATCATTAAGTGGATCAATTCAACTTTCCACGTGCTGGGATATTAAATTCTAAGATTGGTTGGGTATAGGAGCTCTGGATATTAAATTCTATGCCCTTATGCCTAGACGTTTTGAAAGTAATGAATTTTGATTGTGTGAGTTCTTGTAGTTTGGCTATAATTTTATTTCTTTTGTGCATGTTATATCGCTAGATGTTTTTATTATGAACTAAGTATTTGTTAATTCACTCTCTGATCGTTATACTCTTCAGCTATGTTACATGAACTCGAGTACGGGTGTCGGGTGCGGATATGTATTTAGAGGTCGGACTCATCAAATCATAAATTTAAGAGTACGCGGACTCGGCCAAAAAATATCATATTTTTATATTTTTAATCTAGTATGTGAGATAGAATGGTACTATATATAACTTATAGTGTCAAAATGACATTTATAATAATTATAAAACAATATATACATATAATAATAGTGTTATATACAATTATATAAGAAGTATCCGTTGAAAAGTATCCAACACATATCCCATACCCTTGTTCGAGTGTCGGGTGTCCAACACGGGTATTTGATTTATTTTGAAGAGTCTGTGTAACATAGCTCTTCAGTTGCCTCTATGATTCTTTCTTTCAAACATTTTTTTTTGATCTGCAACAACAGCTTCATAGAATGAAGCATGATCAAGTACAAGAGTAGGGGGACAAGAAGTCCACCAAGAAAAAAAAGAAGAAGAAGGAAAATACGATCTCACATTCTACAAATGGCTTTCCAATCCCTAGAATAAAAAATAAAGGAACTCCTTTTAAAAGGAGGAGCCACTGACACCCAAGAACAGGTGAAAAGAAAAAAATCATTTCCAAAATGCAATGGCTTTCCAATCCCTAGTAAAAAAAATAAAGGAACTCCTTTTAAAAGGAGGAGCCACTGACACCCAAGAAGAGGTGAAAAGAAAAAAATCATTTCCAAAATGCTTTCAAAATCTTCTTCGTTGCTCTCAAATGCTTTCAGACATTAGCTTTCCTGCACATAAACATTTGTAGAAATGTCACATTGAAAATTGAATTTAATGTTAAGACTTCTTTTGTTTTAGAAGTATACCTATATCTGTGCAACATTTTGTGATTATTGGCCGAAAGAGGGCAGCCACTTGGCCCTTCTTTGATGACTTAGTGCCTCATCAGAAACTACCATAACTTTCCAAAAGGTTCCACAACCTATTCACCACCAGACCACCCACAGGACACATCACTTGCCGTAGAGTTAAAGTTTATGTTTGATGACTATTTTCTTAGAAAGTAGATCTTAAGTTTTGATTTTTTCTTTCTTTTAAAATCTTTTTGGGATATATGACACAACATATATCTTTTTAAATAACAGAATTAAATGTGGCTTTTTGTTCAGCTTTATAGTTGAGATCTGATTCATAGCTCAATTGAATTATGTGTATTTGTTACATTGATTTTGTTATAATAAATTGACTTTGTGCTGGTCAAAAAGAGTAGAAATTAGTTGTTTATGTTTAGGTACACCTAAGTTGGTGTTCCTATTTTGATTTCTTGAATTTAGCAATCTTTGTATTACTATTTATGCAGTCTAGTTTATGCAAGATTGGCATCAAAACAATTTTACCACAAATTATATCAATGGAGACTAATGGACAGGGAAGGTCCTTGCATATTTTTGTTGCCTTTGCGGGTTGGGCATGATTTCACCAAACTTGGGGGTAATAAATAACAAATACTTCGCAAAATTTATGAACATTTATTGTATCCTTAGTTAATATAGAGAACGGCGTTTAAATACATCATGGTTCAATTGAGAAACATGGTTGTACTACCTTTTATTTCTATACATAACGAATGAATGAAGAAATTAAATACTGTTAAAATCTAAGAAAACTTGCTTGATTTGGGTTAACTTAGGGGAGTTCAATATCAAGAGTACCATGAAATAGTATGATCTTTGAATAATATTCATTATCTGAAATGAATTCCTTACAGTGTTGTGCTCTATGTCCTAGATTTTGTAATTATTAACAGTGTCTCTGTTTTCCTGGGACTGTTGTAAATGATTAATTTGACAATATGTAGTTTTGTTGGAAATTTATCTGTAACTACGATTTTGTGACTATGATTAGGAAGGGGTGTGACCAAATGTGGCTGGCAATACCAAGGATTGTGGGGACATGAACAGTGGTTTGAAATGAGTGCAGATATGGTTGACATTGTTGACAAAACACATGATAGAGATGGAGCTATTGTTGATACTCCTAAAAAGGACGATATGGGGATTGAAGGGGATGCTGATTTTGAGCCACGAAATGGTATTGAGTTTGAGTCACATGAGGCAGCATATTCTTTTTATCAGGACTATGCCAAATCTATGGGATTTACAACCTCAATAAAAAACAGTCGCCGATCAAAGAAATCAAAAGAATTTATTGATGCCAAATTTGCATGTTCTAGATATGGAGTTACACCAGAATCAGATGGCGGCAGCAGTAGACGTCCGAGTGTGAAAAAGACAGACTGCAAAGCCAGCATGCATGTGAAGAGGCGTAAAGATGGAAAATGGTATATTCATGAATTTATAAAGGATCATAATCACGAGCTTTTACCAGCCCTAGCATATCATTTTCGAATTCATAGAAATATAAAATTAGCTGAAAAGAATAATATCGACATTTTGCATGCTGTTAGTGAACGAACAAGAAAGATGTATGTTGAGATGTCTAGACAATCTGGTGGGTATCAAAATGTTGACATTCTTGGTGATGGCACAAGTTATCAGTCTGATAAAGGGCGATACTTGGTTCTAGAGGAGGGAGATGCACGAGTTATGCTCGAGTATTTCATGCACATCCAGAAGGAGAATCCACATTTCTTCTATGCGATAGATTTGAATGAAGAGCAACGTCTTAGAAATTTGTTTTGGGTTGATGCTAAAAGTAGGAATGACTACATCAGTTTTAGTGATGTTGTTTTCTTTGATATGAGCTATATAAAAAGCAACGACAAGATGCCATTTGCTCCTTTTGTAGGGGTAAACCATCACTTTCAGTCAATGTTGCTTGGGTGTGCATTGGTTGCAGGTGAGACTAAATCAACATTTGTTTGGGTAATGAAGACATGGCTTAGAGCAATGGGTGGGCAAGCTCCCAAAGTGATAATCACCGATCAAGAAAAAGCCTTAACAGCTGCAATTGAAGAAGTTTTCCCAAGTGCACGACATTGCTTTTCTCTTTGGCATATATTAGAAAAGATCCCTGAAGCTCTTGCTCATGTAATCAAAAGGCATGAGAATTTTATGGGAAAATTCAACAAGTGCATTTTTAAGTCATTGACAGATGAGCAATTTGATATGAGATGGTGGAAGATGGTCAGTAGATTTGAACTTCAAGACGATGAATGGATTCTTTCATTATATGAAGATCGTAAAAAATGGGTGCCTACTTACATGAGAGATATGTTTTTAGCTGGAATGTCAACAACTCAGCGTGCCGAAAGTGTTAATGCTTTCTTTGATAAGTACATTCATAAGAAAATTACTTTGAAAGAGTTTGTAAAACAATATGGGATGATTCTCCAAAATAGGTATGAAGAGGAAGCTATAGCTGATTTTGATACATGGCACAAACAGCCCGCCTTAAAGTCTCCTTCACCTTGGGAAAAACAAATGTCAACAGTTTACACACATACAATATTCAAGAAATTCCAAGTTGAGGTTTTGGGTGTAGTTGGGTGCCACCCTAGAAAAGAGAGTGAAGATGGAACAAATGTGACATTTAGAGTTGATGACTGTGAAAAGGAAGAAAATTATGTGGTGACATGGGATGAGGCAAAGTCAAATGTTTCTTGTTCGTGTCTTCTCTTTGAATACAAAGGTTTTCTTTGCAGACATGCGATGATTGTTCTCCAAATTTGTGGTCTTTCAAGCATCCCATTTCATTATATTTTGAAAAGGTGGACTAAACACGCAACAAGCAGGCAATCAATGGATGAAGGAACAGAACGTATACAAACTAGGGTGCAACGGTATAATGATTTATGTAAACGAGCCATTGAACTGGGTGAGGAAGGATCTGTGTCGGAAGATCGTTACAATATTGCATTTCGTGCACTAGTCGAATCTCTAAAGAACTGTGTGGATGTTAATAATAGAAATGCTGCAGAATCTAGTGGCAATGCTCTTTGTCTTCGTGAGATAGAAGAAGAGCATCAAAGAAGCCTCGCAATTAATACAAGTAAGAAGAAGCCTGCAAATAGGAAGAGAAAGGTTAGTTTGTGGAAATAATCATGGGTGATCATTGTATTCACTATATGTTTTAGTAACTGCTTGACAGTGAGAGAGAGAATTTTAAATAAGGCCTATTTACATTTCAGGTACAATCAGAGCCTGAAGCTATGACAGTTGAGCCACAGGACAGCTTGCAGCAAATGGTTTGTTCTATTTTGATTCCATCAGAACATTATGTTGTACGAGTGTGCTTTGGATAACAATGAGGATGGCACTATTATATCTCTATTGAATGAAGCCCATGCCCTTTATTTATTTTTAGATAATTACACTAACATCCCTTGAGGTTTGGAGTGAGCCCCACAAGTTTAATATATTTGCATTGAGTTAGCTCCCTTTTCATCAGTCGTATGGATGAAAAAATGGAGTTGCCTTTTATGTTACACTTAAATGCATATTTTAACTTGTTTATCCCTGTTCTACACAACATCTGCTTTAGTTTCATCACTTTGGCAAGGGAGGTCTGTGTAATTATGCCAAACTCGTGGGGGCTTATTGTATTTTTTCAAAACCTCAGGTCAGGGGTGGTCTGTGTAATTTACACCCCCCCCTCCTTTTGTTCCAAAATAAAAGCTGGTTAAAGTTTTACGAAATTATTTTATATACATAGGTTTAGCTTGAGAAGTATTTAAAACGGAATGAGTTTATAGCTGCAGTAATTTGCGCATTCCCATATTCTTAATTGGTACAATCTTGTTTGTAGGACAATCTAAGCTCAGATGGAATAACCCTTAATGGCTATTATGGGACCCAGCAGAATGTGCAAGGACTGGTACTATGTTTTATAATCTTTGGACCATTGAGTGCTAGCCTAGATTTATGATTCATATTAGATGAAAGCACAACTTAAATCATTACGATTCTTTTTTGGTGCTAATTGCAGTTACAATTGAACTTGATGGAACCGCCTCATGATGGTTATTATGTTAATCAACAGAGCATGCAGGGGCTGGTATGTCATTTTGAAAGTCTTTGATTATTTTAATGAATTTGTGTAATTATTATATTATTTGAATTGGGTTTGTAGGGACAATTGAATTCCATAGCACCCAACCATGATGGCTTTTTTGGGTCTCAACAAGGCATGCATGGACTGGTATAGTATTTTACATCCTTGTAGCAGGCAGTGAAATTTGGTTTTGATAGTGTGGTATAAATTATGAAATTTCTTAAAATTTTTGTTGACTTTCATGCAGGGACATTTGGATTTTAGGCCACAATCTAATTTCAGTTACAGTTTACAGGTCAGTTTGTGAGATCTGGCAATTACATGTTAGCTATCTAGCATGGGTACGGGGTACGCCAATACGGAAAAATCTTTAAAAAAAGGATACGAGTATGGAATAAAAGAATTCCTAGCAAGCTAACTTCATCTCTGAATAAAAAATTCCTTATTTTGGTAATCGTGTACTTTGAAATGTACCCATTAGGTGTATGACATCTTTCTGAAGTACTTTATAGTTATATACTTGCCGTGGACTTTTTACTTGAACTTTTTAACCCTAATTTCAGGATATGCCCAATTTGAGATCGACTCAGTTGCACACAGATGCTAAAAGACATGCTTAAGGAAGAAACACCAATAATCAATAGCATTTGTAGCGAGCAGTTCCTATATGAAGCTTCAATTTGCAGGTTTACATTGTACCTAACCTGAGCAACATGTGGTAATCAGAAAAGTGGTTGATTCATGGAAGTGGTTCCAGAGTGCTCCCCGGGCTGTTTCTCCAGAATATAAAGAATGGTACTTTGTTTTAAACTATATTCTTTTATTTTTATTTTGAAATGAAGGGAAGCAAATGCCGGTCCTTTCCATTGAGTTACTTTAATTCTTGAGCGGTCATTTGTTCGCTTGAATGATTAGTTATTATCTGTGAACTCTTCTTCGCTGACTTTGTTGACCATTCTTGGAGACTTCCTTGTACTCCTTTGATGCACTTAGCCTTTGACCCACCGTGATCCTTCTATCCTGTTTTAGGTCAGGGGATTCAGGGCATGACACATAAGGCCACGAGCACCATAATTCTTTACAAGTCAAGCCCTTCAAAAATCGCTTATGTGTTAGGCCACAAGCACAGTAATTCTTTACGCTTTAGGCCCTTCGAAAAGCTCCTTTGCATCAGGGCACAAGCTCACTAATTCGACACTTCAGTCCCTTGACAATCCCTCTTGCATTATCAGGTCTCAAGCACAGTGATATGTACTATTGGTTAACACCCCATTTCTTAATTGGCTACTCTCGTTACAATTAGGTTTGGAAAGATGGTTTGTGGTTATTTTAGCCACAAAAACAACATAGGTTATTTTAGCCACAACAAACAAAACATCACATTCAATTCATAATCATTACACTCTTCTCTAAAAAAAAAGTCAAAAAGTTAAAAAGCCAACCTATTTTCCAAACGAAAGTTGATTAAGAAATGTGGTGTTAATGGATGGTTACATTAACCTTTATTGTAGCAAAATTTTGAGAATGCACCTCAAAAATTTAGTTGGACGTCATTTTTAAATTTGAGTTTTATTATTTTTCTTTCAATGTCCTAATTAATTCCAATGTCGTTCCCACCTAACCCCTAAATCCTAACCCTACCTCCACCCACCACCACCACCTTTGGCTGCCACCCCTTAACCCCTCCCCACCTCCGACCACCACCCCCTTAGTCTGTCCCCAACCCTTCCTTGCCACCACTGTGCCATTACTCTCTCCCAGCCTCTTCTTTGCCACCATGAGTTCCTTCACCCTGAAATTCACCACCATAGCCTCCTCTCTCCGCCATTCGAACCCCCACTAATAACCCTTGCAAACCATGAGAGAGAGAGAGAGCGCAAAATTGAGGGAGAAAAAAGAAGGGAGTCAGCGGGAGTGGGGGTCACGAGGGAAGGGGCTATGGAAGGGGGTGGGCATTGGAGGGAGGAGCTAGGGAGGGTGGGGGTTTTCAGAACTTTGGTAATTTCACTTTAGGAATATAATGATATTAAAAAATTTATGAAAATGTCAGATGTTCGAAAAACTTTTGAGGTTCATTTTTTAACGTGACAAATTTTAATTCTAGTCTGCAAGGGGGCGTGCGTGAGCTTGGTTACACCTTCATGGGTACTGGAGATTTTTGTCTGTTGTAATCATGTTGGAAATGTATATGTTAAGTTGTAAAGAGATGGCAAAAGAGTTTTGTTTTCATTTCTCTTTATGCATTTTAAGCAATTGATTGATTTAGCAAGAGCTTCTTTTGTAAAAATTCTTCAAAAAACTATATATATATGTATGTGTAAATTATTTTTATTTTTTATGTATTAATTACATATAAAGAACAATCATAGTTGCTGTCAGCAAAGAAAATGCTTGTGGGTGAAATTGAATTCGTTTTTAATTCCATGATTTGCCGACACCAATAGCAAAGTTTAGTTAATTTGGACAGAGAATCGGTGAATTCATGCTCTAAACTTACCTACCACCACTTTACGCTTCAAATTGCATATACAATAAAATCACACCATTTATAGAAATTGAAATAGTTCAAATAATAATTAAATACTCGCTGAATTGCTAGTGATCCCAAGATAAAACAGATCAATCATTCTGATCGTACACAGTTTCATATTTGCAGAAATAAATGGGCATTAATAAAATCTTTTAGAAGAAAATAAAGGATAGCTCAACTAGTTAGAACCGGTGTGCCTCACTAAGAGGTCAAAGATACAAGTTGTCACGGGAAAAACTCCTCCCTCCCTAGGCTATGGCCTGACGTACCCAAAAAAAAAAAAAAGCAAAATTTTTTTTTATAGTTCTAGCAAGTTGAAAAATGAAATAATACTAATTCCCAAAATAAAAATGAAATAGTAATAAAAACTATAAACAGTCTTATAAGTTGTACCAAACAAGGCCTTCATCTTCTTGACAAGACAAATTTCATTGAATGTAAAAAGAACACATTAAATCTGATGCCAAAAAAATATACAAAGGACAGAAAAGTGAATGTAGAATCAGTAGAGAGCATAACACTGCTCAAAGAAATCATCTTTGCACAGAGATTATGCTATGGGACTGAGCACATGAAAATGTAGCATCTAGGGTTCTTCCATTATCAGCTCTTCCAAAAGAATAAATCACCATGCCTTGCCCATTGGAAATAAACTAAAATTCTCCAGAAGAAATTGCCAAAGTTTCTCACTTAAACCAGCAATTTAGGAGCTTGCAGTTTGGGTTATAGTACGCAGCAAAAAAAGAATCCTCAGCCAACACAACCTTCTCATGACTTCATATCATGGTTCAAAAGTCGTCAGCAAATCTGTAATTATAACCAGAAATATCGTTCTTCATAATTCCAGAGATTTAACAAAAAGCTCGAGCAGTTTAAACGGACGAAACAAGAAAGATGCATGCAATTCCTTACGCTTTATGAATTTTCCAATGATGTATACGTGAGTGCTTGGGAAGTGGATTTTTTTATAAGTTTTTTTAGTTAAAAGATATTATTAGAGAATTTTTTTTTTTGTGTTTAGGAAGATAGTTGAATTTTTTTGTGATTAGATGTGACGTTTGTGAGAGAAAAAGTGAAATGATTATGAGGTTTGATGTGATATTTTATTTGGATTTGTTTTTTTTTAATTTTGTAACTAATTTGTCTTTCAGTGGAAAAAAAAAAACAAAAATTCATCTTCCCAAACACCACCGCATAAGTAATTACTGAGGTTTTAAGCAACTTCTGAATTTCCAATGGGGTGGTTACTTGCTAACTCTCTCAGTTTATAGAAAACATTTTTTCCCCCTAAATTTTTGAGAACAAATGCTATTCTTTTGGTAAAGAAAACAGATAAACGTGTTGTCGTTTCCAGTTTTCAAAAAAATTAAAAATAAATAGAAGGGGGAGGGAATGAAAAACTGTTTTAAAAAATGTGAAAACACTTTTTTCCCTCAAATTTTAGAAAACAACTGCCACTATTCTGTCTATAGTTTAACAAATGCACTTTCATTTCCAGATTTCAATTTTTTTTAAAGTAAAACAAAAAACAAGAACATTACCAAACTAGCGCCTAGTGTTCATTTTTATGTGTGTGTGTGAGAGAGAGAGAGAGTGATTTGTTGTGTAATCTTCACATCCTATGACTCTACAACATATAGACAGAATGGTATCATTTAATTTGGTCAATTTTCAATATACCTTTATTTACGAACCCAAGATTCCAAAGAAACAGGTTTCTCATTTCGTGTGTTGATTGCTGTAGTGCCCAAAGGAGGTGCATGCACAGTTATCGGAAGCACCCACTCGCACTTGTCTCTTCCCTCTATCAGAAGAGGATGCTCAAATCTGGCATGAAAGAACCGGAAAGGTGTTATTAGGGAAGCTAGTTGAGTGGCAGAATACTCGACAACAGCTCAAACAGTGCATAATTACATAACATCTAATCACAGCTGCAAAACAAGGTTTCAAATTTCAATGAAGGGTTCAACGATGTCCGAGAAGTGCATAAAGTGTCTTTTATTATGAATCTACATTTGTAATTAAGACAAGTTAAAGAAGTGTTGTACACACTTTTTTGGAGTGTCCGCAAGAGTGCCACATGTCTGACATGGGGTCTTAACACAAACACCTCATTTATGGAAGTGTCCATGCATCTTAGCTTTAGCAACAATGATACCAACTAACAGCCATAAGATCATCCCCTAATGCTAACAAAGCTACACAAACTGTCACATGCTATTATAATTCAAAACATGGAAACCTAAGCGACAAATTAGTATATCATTATATGCTCTCATTAAAGTGTCATACCTAGTCCAATCCACATTCTTTGGAGTGGTAAAGAATTCAAAACGAAGAGCCCACTGCACAGAGACACGAGGAGTGGAAAAAGACATGGGCCCATCCATGGGAATGGAAAAGAGAAAACTTGTCTGCACCAAATCTGCTACAACCTCATGGTGATCGCTCTGAACCTAGATAATCCAAAAAACATGGCACTAAATAGATTATCATTTTCTACATGGATAACATAGAAAAATTTAGGTAAGATATATAACAGAATGGCAGCAATATATATATATATATATATATCTTTTCCCCCTTTTTATGCTGTTATTTTCAAGAAGATAAAAGTGGTTTATACTTTATCCCTACCATGGAAGCTCACTAGAACACATCTGTCAAGTATTTAAAAACTTAAACATTCCCAATTTACTTCTACTGATTTGCTGCACTAACATCCCATCGGTTTCAAATATCCGTGCTCACAATTTCATCAATTCTTAGTATATCTGAATGCCAAGTTCATCATGGAAACTCAGCATGCACAAAAAAGCCAAAGCAATCAACACTACCAAATGCCAAAGCAAAAGGAATAGTACACCTTAGCAATTTTGAGCAAGAAAGTAACTTTAAATTTTAAATTAAAATAAGCTATGTAATAACCAGTTTATAACCATGGAAAGCATCACAGCATTGAATCAGAAGGAATACCTTAGTAACTGTTGGGGAATGTCTCCGAGAAGGGTGGATAAGATGACGACTTATAGTCTCAGACATTTCCAGAGTTATCGAAAGCTGAAGAACAGCACTAATTCTAGTCAAATCAATGAGGCATCAATAAAAACAAACAATATGCTAATGATTTCTTTGTTGTATAATAAATGCAATTACCTCAAGGCATCTCCTAGACCCTTCTTCATGAAAGAAAGTAAGAGTGCCACCTATCTGTTACAAAAAGTAACAAAAAAAATATGTAATTGAAGAAATAAAGAAGAGGCACAAAACAGATAATGAAGTGCAATTACCATATCACTGAAATAATAAGATGAGTCAGAGTTTTTTGGTGAAAATCTAAGCAGAACTTGGTCATCCAATTTAATATTGTATGAACGTCCTCGAATAAAGCTTTCTGCTGCAAGAAATCTTGGTAGCAAATTAGTTTTCTAGGAATGTTAAACAAGAGTTCGAAACAAATCAGATCTAAGAAGGAATAGACAACAATGATTTACATGCTGCTGGTTCAACAGTTCCAGGGACAGCTGGTCCTCTCAAATCATCATCCGTGGACAGAGATTCTGAACGTTCTAGCTGCTGAGAGGGAGAGATGGTGGCTGGATACTTCCGAGGTGACAAAACATCTGTTTAGAGAGAATTCCATCACTCAAAAGAGTAGCTTTTATAATTCAAAACAGATAACCTTACAAGATTTTCATCATTTTATGGGACATGCTGAAGAAATCGTGGACAAAAAAGCAATTACAATAACAATTTCATAAGTGGAAAAAGTAAAACAAATTAAATATGTAATGCTCCAAGAATAGCTGACTCTCACCAGAATCATATAGGACCTCAGCCACAGACAGCTGAGAAAGTGGCATGTATGAAGATATGCTAGTTCGTTCTTTGAGATAAGAAGCATCTTGATTCGAAAACCTTCCAGCCAATGACTGCAAGGATTTTGAACTTCCCAAGGTTCTATGTATATTTTCTTTGGTGGGGTTGTAGGAAGAAACAGACGAGATTTCATCCCTTGAACTTTCATAACCTTCCTCAACTCCATCATATGTTTCATTAGCTCTAGCCTGGAAGAAGGTAGCACTCATGAATGCACTAATTCTCAAATTAGTAGAGACAATTGGTTAATGAAATATACTACTAGATGGGGTATCCATGTACCCCCCACCCTGCCAAAGAAGGAAAATACAGTGAAAACAACTAGTACAGTTAACAGCTTACCCAATCAGATCTCCATCCAACTCTTCCCATAGACATCCAAAAGGACAGATTGAAGTGGGAACAATTCCTGGAAATATTGGTAAAATGTTTTGCTCATTTAATGTGTATGGACCAAGATTAAATAATAAAAAAATATATATCCACGAATTACAAGCAAATGTAACCACACAAAAGTTCAGAAGTACTTCCACAGGGCCGAGCTCACAACTTCACAGGCAGTCATCGCAATATTAATTTAAGAATTCAGAGAATTGGTGCCCCAAACTATTTTTTTATCAGCTTTCTTTTTTTTAATAAAACAAGTCAGGGAACATTAAAATCTTTTAATGACATAAAGATAGTAAAAACAAATTCAAAAGTAAAATGCTAAAGAAAATTTAAATTGCTAGCCAATTTACCTACAAACAACAAGTGAAGTTTAACTTTATGAAATTAATTCATTATTTGGCTCCTAAACAAGCAGAGATACGAGACGTTCAAGAAATAAGTAGTTGGGAAAAAAAAGTAAAAACTAGCACAAGTACTGCCTTCAATTCTTTTTTTGCTTTTTTGCTTAATGTGCCTTTCTATGAGGACAATGAAATCAAATTTTTTGAGCACGAGCCAGTCAGCTCAGCTGTGATAACTCCATCATGTAGCATAAAATTTTTAACTCAGACTAAGAAGGATCCAGATATGAGGAACCACAACTCTGCAATGGAGAGAAAAGATAGACACATGCAGCGTAGATATTCTGTTAATCATAAAGCAAATATATAAATGCACTTTAGATTCTTAAAACAAAAATCAATTCCTTTTAGACAGTTACTGAGTACAAACCATTTTATTGAGCCTTAGAATCCCATGAATCATGATAACCCAAAAGTTCACAGTTTTTCAAGTTTACAAAGCTAGATAGTACTGAACTAAAGCCAGCAAGCTCCAACCCCTACTTTTTGGGGTCTGTTTCAACAGTAACATTGTAATCCATTAAGTTCTTACATTACTTTGCTATCAGTTTTGGCCAAGCATCAATCATTCTTACATTTTAAATTCTAAAGAGGAAAATTGGTAGAAGGAGAGAG